TTGGCTAGGTTAAAATCGTGTAATCGTATCCAACACTCTGCTGCTTCTCAATGTGTATAAGAAGGAAACAAGATAAAGCATTTAAAAAACATATTTTCATTTTCTTTGAAAAACCAGTGCACCTTTCACACATTTCTCACATGTGGAGCCAGATGGCGGTATTGAAAACAATATACATATATATCTCTCTAATTAAGAACATGATCATAGAGTACCTAAGGGATTCAAAAAAGATATAATTCACTATATAATTATTTTCAGATTCTCACATTTTTACCCTGTGTTTTAATTTGAAGAGTACTTTCTAATCACATCATTTTTATTAGTTCCAACATGTCAGAAAAAAATACTTCCTTGGCCCTGTATTTCTTGACATTCTGTCATGGAAAATGGCAAGATTTTGAGGTAAAGCCAAAAATAGAAAATATCACCTCAGTAAACTGAAAACTTAGATTGATTATTCCATATCATTTCAGAGCCAGATTTGACGCCAAAATTTGCCTGAAGCAGTTTGTGTTTTTTTGATTTTTTTTTTTTTTTTCCTGCAGGATGTGAAGTGTTACTTTAGCCTCTAACACTAGAATTTAGACACTGGGCTCTGATTATCATCAGGGGAAGCAAGTCAGTCACCCCTGGTGGTCACTGAGGTGACTGCACCTAGAATAGGTTCACAGGATATTATGTAAGCTTGGAGCTGGATCCCCTCCATTTAGCAACAACAACAAAAATCTCCCCTAGACTAAAAATTAGGGCCAAATGGAATTAAGCCCTAACCACCTTTTGTTCTGTCTTCTCCTATCCTCTCCTCATGATTAACCGTTAATATGCTCCAACTGTATTCCTGGTAAAATGTGCCCTTTTAAGGTTGATTGTAACATCAGAAACAAACATCTGATTGCTAAGAAAACACCTTCCTGGGAAAGTCAAACACCTTGACTCATGTCACATGGACTTCCCACCACCTCCTCAGATATGGAAATTCTGAGTGCTATGCCTCCCTCACATTCCTTCCCCCCTTATATTGGAGAAGAGACCTTCATTAAAGGGCTAACCCAATTGCTGACTCCCTTGGTGGCCGCCTCATATAGTAAACTCCTCTGTGTTTGTTTTTTCAAAAATTTATTTTTATTTATTTATGCATACAAGAACCACGGCATAGGCCAGAGGTACAGGGGGTGAGAGGATTCACCAGAGACAGAGTAGGGAGCAGAATAGGCAGATCTACTAAAATACACTGCTGAGGGGAGCAGTGGGTGAGACAGGAGAGGTCTGCTGAGCCATGTGGGTTGCTCCCTGGCTGGGGATCGAACTTAGGCCTTGGCAGTGATAGCACTGACCCTAACCCCTGAGCCACCAGGGAGGCCCTAATCCTCTGTGTTTATATTCTCACAGCTCAGTGTTTGGCTCTCTTGGTGCAGGTAAAAGACCTCCTCTGGTCACTATAAGCACAGTATACTACTATACTCAAAATGTCTCTTGTAATTATATAGCTTTGAAGCAGTTAATGCCTGATAGTCATGATCACTTAAAGTCATTGTTCCTTGGGTACTAGTAATGCTTAAGGTCAATTTCTCCTCTAAGATCCCTAAGTTTCTTATATTTCATACTCCTCTCCATCCTATATTATAATTACACAGACCATATGCCATGTACATAATAGGTGGTCAATTTGTATTTTTATCATCTAGCAGCACTGTCCAGAAATATAATGTGAACCACATGTATAATTTAAAAATTTTAGTCATATATTAATTTTAGGAATCTATTTTAGTTAACCAAAAACATCCAAGCCACTGTTATTTCAACCTGTAGTGCAATTGTATTTTAATTGTTCATTAACCCCAAGTGACGAGTACAGATCTAGTCCCATTTTAAAATTTCATAGAAAATAAAAATATTTGCATAGTCCACTGGAGTAAATGGATGAGACTTTTCTTTACCAGAGGAAACTGCCAGGGGCTCAGGTTGCCTTGATCCTGCTCAACTATCCTGAGTGCTGAAGTTATCCATGACCATCACCCTATGTAACCAGTCTGCCAGGCACAATAGATGGAGCCTCTGATGGACAGCACTGGTTCCTACCTGTTTCAAGTGATAGAGCCATTGACCCTCCACCTTACATAATAGTTATTTAACTTTTTTAAGGTTTATTTATGCATAAAAGAACTGGGGTACAGACCAGAGGTGCAGGGGGTTGAGAGGATTCACCAGAGACAGAGTGGGAAACAGAACAGACAGATTGACTGAAATACACTGCTGAGGGGAGCAGTAGGCAAGACACGAGAGGTCTGCTCTCGTGGCCGGGGATCAAACTCTTGCTGTAGTAGCTGCAGATAGCTTCATAGGTTGCATCTTAATCCCTTGGGCCCCCAGGGAGGCCCCTGATTTAACTTTTGTAGCTAATTCATTTAGTAGACAAATAGCACATAAATGAGACAGATGATAGAGTAGATAATAGACAATGGATTAGATATGTGTATTATATATATAAACTACTTATAGAGATAGTAAAATAATATATACTGTTTTCATTTCATAGTTCCTTTACTTTTTCCTCAGAGTCTGAACCAATTTAAGTTAATAATTTTCAATAGGTATCAAATTTTTCCCTCCTGCCTCCCCAGCACACATTTGGCACTATCTATTGACATTGTTGACTCTCACATCTTAAGAGGGGGTGTTACTAGCATCTTGTGGATAGAGACCAGGGAGCCTGTTCAACATTATACATTCTTCATAGGACAACCACCCCCTACAAATAAAGAATTGTAAATTGGCCCAAAGTTTCAAATAGTGTCAAGGTTGGAAATCGGCTTTAATATGACATCAACTAGCACTGACCTTTTACATGACAGGTAATGTCTCATTTCTGTATTTTATAATGTATAATTCCACATGATAATCAAAACTTTAAATTTAAGATTAAAACTTTACTTTTCATCTAGTTAGGGGGAAAGTTGGATGTTTTCCTTTCTGTCTTCATCCTTACACTTCACCCCAATTTTCCATCTTACTAATGCAAGTTTACAATGCTTTGTATTCAAAGTTAGGGGATGAAGGATGCAAAAACATCCCTATTTGACACAGTCATGAGCAGGCATCTCACAGTCTCAATGAGGCAGATTTTTTTAAGTAGACAATCCCCTTATGCACTTTTGTAGGTTCCTTAGAGTTCCCATTAGGATCACTTGACTTTGAATCTTCTAATGTAAGTAATTTATTTTCTTCTAGTTGCAGTTCACTTTGTAGTGTGCTTTTCTCTTTTTCTTGTGAGTTTCTCATTGAGGGATAGAACCGTGCAAGTCTAGATGCCCTACAATTCTAACTTGACGAATGTTTTGCCACCAATAATTTCTTTAAAACTTTAATTGATTGAAACCATTGTACTTTAATAAGTATCTGAGCTCCTGGTATTTTTATTTCCCTTCTTCTTCTTTCTTACACCAATAGTTCAGTAATATCAGATAAAAATCCTTTGAGGTTGGGCTTGGATAAATTTCTTACCTTTTTTGCCTCAGCTTCCTTATTTCTAAGTTGGGTAGAATAGTTTTACATATTTCACAAGATCATTGTTAGAATCAATGCAGCAAATATTAACTGAATATTCACTCTATGCAAAATGACATTTAAGGTATTAAGGTCACATTAGCGAACATTTGCTCAATGTTCAAGGATAAAAATCCTCGTCCACTTGAGTTTACATTGTAATAAAATTTAGTAAAGTTAAATCATGTAGCATATCCAGGACATCATAAAACCTCAAAACATTCTAGATATATTATTAACACAACTGAATGACTGACATATTCTAAGATAATGATTGTAGAGGAAAAGAGCGTCTATAAAACCAATAAAGTACCTCAAATCCTCACATGATGTCTACAATTAGGTAAAACAGTGGAGAGTCCAGTTATGAACTATAGCTTATCTTACTGAGATAACAAATTCCTGTTAGTCATTAATAATAAGACAACTTGAATATATCTAGATTCTACACCTAATTAGGGTCCAAAGTTTAAATATTAAAGATCATCACTGAATTCATAGCCTTTAGCATGGTCCTTGATCATCAGTAGCTTTCAGCAATAATTGTTCACGAAAAAATGTGACACACACCTATCATTAAAGATAAAGGTAAAGGTAGGAAGTTGAAAATAGAGAACTGATGAAGACGTGGAAAAAGTCTGGTGGAAATTTCACATCAATAAATAGAATAAGAAATTTCTGTTTCAGAAAAACTCACTTTTTCATCGACTTAAAAAAATTGAGAAAATTATTGTGGCAAGGATGATCTTTGAAAATGTAGGAGTTATCTATAGGTAGTATAGAGTTATGATTAATTATAATGAACAATTCTAGAGATTTGCCCCCTAATTTATTTTTATTTTATTTATATATATTTTAAGATTTATTTATTTTTATACAAGAGCTGGGGTACAGGAGGGTGAGAGGATTCACCAGAGACCGAGCGGGATGCAGAAAAGGCAGACAACCGAAATACACTGCTGAGGGGAGCAGCGGGCACGGCAGGAGAGGTCTGCCATGCCATATGGGAATCTCCCTGGCCAGCCGGGAATCAAACCCATGCTGCAGAGGCTGTGGTCAGCTTCACAGCGCTACACTCAACCTGCTGTGCCTCCAGGTGCTCCGATTTGTCTCCTAATTTAGATAAATTTGTATTTAAACAAAATGTTGTACATAGCTACAGATATGTGGAATTATCCAGATAAGATTATCATGTTAAATATAAGGGAATCATTGTGAAAATAAATTGTGGTGATATGAAGCTAACCACATTCTCATTATACATTCACTTTGCAAAAAAAGTTAATATTTTTATATGGGTAAATTTTGCTTGTATGCCTTATCTAAACAGAAAGGCTTGAGCTATTAATTCAGGTAGTTGTTCCATAACTACTGGTTTCTGTTCATATTTGCATAAAGTAATAATCATAAAGAGAAATTTACTGAATGCCTCTGACTTTTTTTTTAATCTCCAGTATTCAGACTGCATCATAGTGCTTCAGATATAAGCGACAAAAACCGAGTTAAAAGCAGATTAAAGAAGTTTATTACCCGAAGACCTTCCCTGAAAACTCTGCAAGAAAAAGGACTTATTAAAGGTATAGCACAATTTATATTTTTACTGTAACAGTGATAAATGAATGGACCTTTGTATACACAGCTATACAACTCTAAATGAATATCAGGATATTATATTTTCTGCTCTGTAACAGAGGAAAAATAATTGAGACAACTAATCCCCCCCTGAATAGGGTGACATCATAGAATAATTAAAAAAAAAAACAACCTAATTTTATCAGAGCATCTGGGCTCTGTCCAAGGAACTGAGAAGGCAAACCTATCAACGCTACTGATCCTTCAGGGTGTCCCTATGCTGATACGTCCATAGTTTACACCTATATGCAGTATTTTATACCTGTTGTTTTAGTATACTTAATATCAGGATCCCTTTTCACTTTCAGAAGTTTCCTGACTGGAATAATAAGTTATCTGACCACACTAGTCATAATCTCATATATGCTAGGAAGAAATCCAAGACAAATTGGCATCATGAAATACTTAAATACACCAATGAGAGAAAGATCTCATGTACTTGCATTTTTAGTTGTAAATTAATTCATTTATTTATATTTCAAATATAAAGCATTTAACAAAGTTTCTGGACATAATAAATGCCCTCTGCTGTTAATATTATTATTATTATATTATCATTATTATTGTTCGTAGTATGCCTATTCTATGAAAGGATGGATGAATATATTGAAGCACTGATATAATAGATTACTATTTCTGGAAAAAACATTGCAGATTATACAGGCAAAGTTTATTATTTTCCTAACAAGAAAATTTATGCATAAAGTCAATTATTCTCTCTCTTTTCAAATTTTCTTTTTTTTTTAAGATTTATTTATTTACGCATATAAGAACTGGCATACAGGCCAGAGATGTGGGGAATGAGAGGCTTCACCAGGGAATGATATAGGGTGGGGAGCAGAACAGAGAGATCCACCAAAATATACTGCTTGCTAAGGGGAGCAGGGGCGAGTCAGGAGAGGTCTGCAGTGCCATGTGGGTCACCTCCCTGGCCAGGGATCGAACTGGTGCTGCATTGGCTGCAGATTGCTTCATAGTGTTGCCACTTAACCCCTTGTGCACCAGAGAGGCTCCTCTTTTCTAATTGATGGATCTACTTTGAAAATTTAATATAAGAAAGAATTTGAAAATGGGCTAAAATAAACTCCTAAAATAAATGCTGAAAACAATGTAAAGATTGAACTTTATAGGACTCAAAAGTGATTTAACATACAAATATTTCTTAGGAAGAGGGTAAAGCAGACATTAATATTTTCATCAAAACTTAGTGAATTATTTCAATAGTTTTTATAACTGTCTCACCTATTAGTTATAGTCAATTTTGAAACAGGCTAACATATAAAAATTTACCTGGCACTGTAAGCTAGTCTTGAAAGGTGAAATTTTAAGAGGCACGAGAATACTTATCACTAAATGAGTGGAAAATTCTTAGAATGCAGACATCTGGGACTAGAACAAGTAACTGTTTTAAATCAAGCTTACTTCAGTCTTTTATTCTCTAAAGATATCTGTTTAGGTGCCAGAGACAGCATTCAATCCTTTATACCCTCAACTTCATGTGATACTATACTAGTCCTTCAAGTTTATGTTAGAATTCATTGTGTACGTTAGCATTTTCTAAAAAAGGATTCATTTACAGGTTACCTGCCACCTCGAAAACTATATAAAACCAGATTAGCAATCTAAACAATCCCAGTTGACATAAATTCCAAATTTGCCATGATTATAGCAAAATTAAAAGGGTTTTAATTCAGTGCCTGGGTCTAGCCCCATTCAAAATGCTTACAAATTAATAAGAAGAATTAATAACTATAATGCTCTGGACTCAGAAAGTAGCAAAGTAGCTGCATACTTAATGCAGTTTTCATACTGATGTAATGAAACCACTAAACATACTCCAGTGTGTGCATTTCCTATCTTAGAGCTCCATTAAATTTTCACCATAGCTGACCGATGAGTCAGTATTCATTAGTATGGCTATGGAAAATCTATGTGAAATTCTGATTTGATAAGCTCCCATTGTTGTCTTCAGTGGAATTTTCTTCCAAATACAGATCAAGTTATGTAAATGTAGTCATTTCTTGGGCTTGTTTCAGTGTTAACTGTGAACTTCTTTCCAAGGCTTTTACTGAGATTTTTTTTGACTGAGTAAAGGGAATTAAACTATTTTTTAAAAAACAGAGTCAGTCAAGTTTAGTATTTTAAGTTCATTGTCTCAGCATACCTAAGGCAAAGACTCAGAAAAGTAATGAAATCATTACTCAAAAAGAAATTAAAAACAGAAATTAAAAAAAATGAAATCAGTATGGATCAATTACAAAAATTATATAAAATAAATTAATGGTTTAATGGTTAATTTCTCTAAGCTACATAAATGTCTTTCGAGGACAAGAATTTAGGAAATTCTGTTTTTTAGAAAGAGTTATAATGGCCCTTAACTTTGTCCCACAATGCATTTGCCCAAATAATATGTAGTAGATTCCTTAAACTGCCTGATCTTACAAACTTGGAATTAAGGCCTCCATTACTCATATTTGGAAAAGCCGAGTTTAGTAGTTTGGATCTTACCAGTATACTTTCTGATAGCTAGGAGGAGCTATGCTGGGCCACAATCACTTTTCAAAGTGATTACTCTTTCCTGTAATATTACCGCCAGTTTGAGAGGACTGAGTTTTGAATTCAGCCAGCATTTACTGAGCACCCACTGTGAAGTGGGAAAGGCTATGCTTCACTGACTTTGTCATACCCAGTAGAACAATACCAAGCAAACATCTTATGTGGGAAAGGTATTATCCTCATATCACTGAGTCCAAACTCAATGGTAACCCTCTCTGGACAATATGTGACTTCACTGGCTAGAATCTAGCCAGTGAAACTCACTGGAAACTCAAGCGCACATGATGAGGTTGCATTTTCTGATTTCTTTAACATGACTAATGATTGTCATAGCAACAACATAAAAAGGCCAGGAGTTAATAATTCTGAATAATGGCTCAATGGAAAGAAATTGAATAGCTCAGGTAGGTGTAGTGATTATTGTACCATTACATTGGTAGCTTCTGAAAGTTTTCAATTTCTCCATGTGCATTCCCACACACTTGCCAAGGGAATGTGGAACACTTTCTAAATGTGTAAGTTAATTGCATTGAGTGTCTCATTGGAAAGAGAACTCAAATCAGTTTAATATGTAAATTATAGGCAACGGGCTATGTTTTAGGATGGTAGGTGTGCTTGAACATATCTTTTACTTGCTTTTAAAACTAAAGTGAGAACTCTTTAGGATTAGTCAAACTAACTTCTTCTGTTATCTTTCAAATAACAGCATTGACATCTAAGAACAGGAAACACTTAGCAACACAATTTTTCAAAAAGGATTGTCTCTGTTTGTTTTTTTAGCAGCAACTAGTATTTCCTTACATCAAAATGATATAGTTAAAAAGGATTATATGTTTAGAAAGTAGTTTCTTTCATCTTAATGTGGACAAAACCATACTAGATGGTAGGCATTGAAAATAATGTTATTCTACTTTTATTTTGTAATCATTGTATTTAAAAGGAAACAGCCTATGTAATAGTATAACATCTCAATTTATCAAGCTTAGACATGACTTCAGATATAGTTTGCAACAGGCATAAATTTGACTCAAACCAGACCTCGTCTACCTGGTCTTTTTCCTTCTCAAATATTCATGGTCAAATACAAATGGTCCCTCTGTTTCCACTGGCTTTCTCTGAAACTTCCACCATATTTAAATTTCTACTTATTATCTTATTAACCATATAAAATTAAATTTCAATGCCTCTATCCATAAGATGAGAAACAGTACTCTCTTTCCCTCCTACCTCTTCTGTCTTCGCTATTGTAATTTTTATTTCCACATCATGAAAAATTTAATCATTTCACTGGTTTCTATAATTGTGACTTATTCATATATAGCTTGATTCTGAAAGTTACAAACAAAACAAAAAACAACATTTATAAGACTACAGTTATATATGGTTATTTACGACAGCGTCAAGTATTAGAATTCCTTCTCTGTCCTTACAATATAAGGACCGGGCCTCCCCTGGTGGTGCAGAGGTTGAGCGCCGCGCTGTGAAGCTGCCCGCAGCCTCTGCAATGCCAGTTCAATCCCCTGCTGCCCTGCTGCCGGGCGAGGGTCCCACATGGCGCGCAGACCTCTCTTGTCTCGCCCACTGCTCCCCTCTGCAGTGTACTTTGGTCCTTCTGCCTGTTCTGCTCCCTGCTCTGGCTGTGGTGAATTCTTTCACCCTCCTGGGCTTCTGACTGTACCCAGTGCTTGTGTAAATAAATAAATAAATCTTTAAAAAAAAAAACAAAACAATATAATGACCCCTGTGATCCTCCAAAATTAATGTTCTTTGATTGCTGTTGAAAAGATTAAACTTTCTTTTACATTTGAAGATTATATTAGTAAGTTTAAGTGATGTTTTGTAACCATACGCAAGCCCTCTATTTTCCCCCATATTTTGGATAGAAATGTGAAAAAAAAAGTAATCAGCATTTACTTTACAATGACCATGTATATACTATGGAATCCTTGGCCAAGTCCATCATGTATGGCCTTGTGCTAATGCTGACCCTGCAGAAAATGAGCATTTAGTACATAGTGTGTTTTATTTATTTGTTTGTTTGTTTGTTTATTTACTTATTTATTTATGTGTTTTTTAAAGATCTGCTTTTCTACCCATTACCATTCCTTCTATCCCTGGCCTGTTCTCCATCTTAACCCCGAGTCCTCACAGTGCTTGGTAATATCTGCTAGTTTTATAAGTATTTTACTTTGTCTAATCATATGGTTTGTAAATGTCCAATATTTGTCATTTTCACTTGCTTAACTACAAAACAATCATCCAAACTACCTACAATTTGCTGTAAATTGGCTACATTTCATCTTTATTTATGGCTAAATAGTATTCCATAGCATGGATATACCACATCTTCTTGATCCAGTCATCTTTTGATGGACATTTAGGCTGTCTT